TTTCCCTATTGCAGAAAATATTATGCGGTACCCTCAAACCAGAAACAATGAAACTGCCGAAACATATCCAGTTCTACCTTGGCTAGATATTCTACAGTCTTTCACTGAATTTTCCCGGCACCTGTACCGTTTACTAAAGCCCGATGATGGAGAAGCTGAAACTCGGAAGAAAAAAAAAACCTTAAGTAGATCTGCCGCCTTTTCGACAAAGAACCGGTTCATGCAGCCCCCTAATCATTCTAGCCTCATGATTAGACATGTCAATGTTGTTTCTCCCCCAAGACCATAGGCTTTCATTCTAAGGCAGCATCCAAAATCTCATTCTATAGCAGAGCTCAAATGGATAGGCTACTATTATAAGCAAACCATATTGCTCTCAACCGTGAAGGCAAAAACGGAGAAAAAGATGAAAGTTCTGGTAAAAGATAAAAGAATACTGATAACAAACACCATGGACATATCTTTCATCTTCAGTAAGCTCATATACACATTCATATCCTGGGAGCAACCCAGAATCTATGGGTGTATACTGATACTCATAAGCATTAACAAGCAGTACCACTGCACAGAGAGAAAATGTTCTCTAGGGTTTCTCAGAAATTACTCACATATTTCTAGGTTGTGAGATCACCGCCATAGAAATTTGATCCTCCCCAGACCGAAATTCATGGCGTCAATCGACGGAAGAACCAGAGCCTTCAACTCCCACCGAAGATCCGATGGCCGAGATCCTCCTCCGGTATAGGTCTCTCCATCTCCGCCGCCGGGCGAGGTGTTCCAGTACGAAATTTGTGTAATCGGACCACCCTGAAAAGCCATATTCGTCGGCAGGAGGAGAGAAAAGACGGCGTCATCTCCGGCGTGAAGAGCATTAGGAGATCCATAACAAATCGAGGTCCCAATCTAGGGTTTTCGCCACCGTGATCTTTTCTTGCTCATCTCTTCCTGTATCAAGCAAGCCCTCCCGCTTCCTCTCACTGTTTGAATCTCGATTCTCTCGAGAAATTACTTCTTTATGTATACATATAGAGAGAGAGAGAGAGAGATGGTCTCTTCATGCTCGTATTATTATGCAAAGTTTACACCTTTTTATTGGTAAATATAAACACCCATTGAACTCACTAATCGTAGCTAGAGAAACGAAGATTCAGACACATCTAAGACCCACTTCATCCGGAACGAGATTGATCAGCGACATCTTTTGATCTCGTCGAGTTATCAATGGAATGAACAGTTTTGCCTGATGGCTTTGTCGGTGACACCCTGCGTGGCAGACACGGCACTGTCGTTGCCTAACGCCATTGATGGGTTCTGAAGCTTCTCTGGTTCTGCTACAAGATGAAGACTATATTCCTGCGACTGTCGCCGCATATCGTCGTCTAAACAACAAACCGGGTTTGAATTGCTGGCCGAAGATGAAGATGTCGAGGGTGCCGATGAACAGACTACGAGGGTGGATGTATCGATACCCGCCGGAGCAAAAGCGCCGATTCCTGGAGTATATGGCGAGAAATCCGGCAATGGTACATTTCTTTGTAGGTATTGCAGAACTTGCTCCATTGTTGGTCTGGATTCTGGCAAGAGATTTGAGCAGAGCAATCCAAGTTTCAGAACCATCTCGACATCCTCGTACGAGAACTCTCCTCCCAATCTCGGATCCCTTGCTTCCAGTAAGGAACCCATTTTCCATAATTTACAGATCCACCAGATGAGGAACCGTCTCTCAACCTGCATCTCAGGTTCGACGGGTCTTCTCCCGCAGGTCACTTCGAGCATAAAAACACCAAAGGCGTACACATCTGTTCGAGTGGAAGCCCCCATTGTCATGAGCTCTGGAGCAACGTACCCTACGGTTCCCACTGCAGCTGTTGTAGCTAGGTTGGCACCATGGTCATGGAACCTGGCCATACCAAAATCTCCTAGTCTGCCATTGACCTCTGCATCTAACATTACGTTAGAAGCTTTTATATCTCTGTGCAGGACAACTTGGTTGGCTCCTGAGTGCAGGTAGCTCAGAGCTGAAGCTATGCCCTTAAGGATCATGGAACACTCTCTTCACAGCTATTTCTCTGCTGAGAGGGAGAGTTCCCTTGTAAACTTCCCCGAAACCTCCTCTTCCAAGAAACCCATCCTTTCTAAGCCCTTTTGTTGCTTTGTACAGAGATTTGTAGAAGAATCTGTACGGATCAAACTCCTTTTCCCATGGCTCCCTTACTTCGGCATACTTGTTTCTCCAGTAGAGATAAGCTCCCGCAAGAACGGCCAACGCTATGATGGCCAACAAGACGAGCAGAGCAACGAGAAGAAGAGACGTTTTCTTGTGCCCAGCTCTAGGATGAGGAACTCGGGGAAGTTTTGAGATATCCAGGTCCTGCAACAACACTCTGCTCCATGAGAAACTCCATCCAAGAATGTACTGGTAACTGGTCACAGTCCCCGTTGCTGCAGAGAAGCCCACGAAAACTCTTCTACCGGGAAAAACTTCTGAAAGATTGATGGGTCTTGACAAAAGAGGTCGGCTTGGCTTCTGAACTTTAGGAGGGGCTATGGAAACATTGAGCACAGTTCCATCATAATCCACCCAGACATGGACAGGATCTCCACTCAAGAGCATGATGCTTCTGTTCCTCCGTTCCATGTCTGAAAAGTAAGAAGCAGGAGCTGATTCGACAGATCGTGGGCTATCCAAATCGATCCCCACATGGTTATTATCGATATCGTCAAGCTCTGGAGCAAGAGCAGTGTCAAGCTCAATAGCCAACAGATGAGAAGAAGAAGAGGAAGAAGACCCATATGCTGAAAGGTTGTAAACACCGAGGTATCGACTTGGTTCTGCACTTCTAAGATCCACGGAAGGAGAAACAACAAAGGCGATTCCATGGCCACCAGGGAAACCAGGGTTAGCCACCATGGCACACACGAAGTGTGTAGAGAACGAGAGCGTTTCAGATGGATTGAACTGAAGCGGATGCTTGAAAAAAGCATGGCCCATTTGCTGCTGTGAAGCGTTCGTGAGCTGCAAGAGACCATCAGGAAGGATTCTTGCACTTTCATAAATGTAAAGATCTGATTGGTGGAAGCCATTGTAGAGAAACCCTGTCTCTTTCTGACCAGACAGGTAAGCCAATTGACCGCAAGAGATTATCCAAATCAGAAGCAATCTATTACAAGCCATTGCTGATGATGAGTTCAAGAATCTAACTGGAGCAGAAGCACATAACCTCTCTCTGATCAGATGATGAAAATTATAATAACCCGCCAAAGGGCAAAATAACAAAAATAACTTAAAAATGACAAGAACAACAGCCATAACCTTAGAATCTCTAGAGTTTCCCAAAAAACCAATATTTTTAATAAAATTACGGAAATACCAGAATAACTAGTATGACCAAAATTTGAGGTATGACCAATTCAAACGGTATAATCAGTCTGACTAAATTTCTGTTAGTCTGACTAAATTTCTGTTAGTTTGACAATTTACATTTGGTATCAGAGACAGACAACGATTATGGATATCGAAAAAATTGATTTTTCGAAAGGATTACCATTAATATTAACCAATGAGGATGAATGTTATCCTGAATTTCTTTATAAAGGAAAGGTGATAACAATAGCTAAAAATCTTCATAATCAAAGCCGATATTATATTGGTATCATCTTTGATGATGATACTAATCATAATCTCGGAAATAAAATAAAGAAAACAGGTTTTACCCTAAATAATATTGTTGAAATGATTTCTTATGGAATCATACATCAAAATCCAGAAAATCACGAAGAATTAAAAAGAAATATTGAAAATATAAAATCAGATTTAGAAAATCAGCTACAAAAATTAATAAAAATATTCGAACAAAACCATGAAAAACAAGATGAAACTAAAAATATAAACAAAAAATTAGAAGAAATAATATATCTACAAGAAAAAAGCATTAAAGAAATGAAACAAAACTCTGAAGAATTAAAAGAATATATTAAAACAATAATAGGATGACAGAAACTATGAAGGAAACTATAGAAAAACTAATTAAAGAAAATATTGTTGAAATAAAAGAATTACTACTAAATATAAAAGAAATACTCACGACAACAAATAATTACAGTTATAATAACAGAAAAATTCAAATAATAAAAGAACTTAACGAAGCTAAAGAATTAGTAAAAAATATTATTACAAAAAATGAAAGAAAAGAAATAATAAATCCAGACGAAGATGAAAAACCAAAAATTCTAGAAATAATAGAACAATTACAAGAAATAATCGAACGACTTAATCAAAATAAATATATCACTATAAAAGACTTACAAAGTTATTTTAAAAAAGGAAAGGGGGGAGAATAGTAATAATAATACATTACCTAAAAAACGAACACATGATGAATATCAAGGATATAAAGATCATGAATATGAACTATACCAAAATCAATATATTCTGAAAGGGAACAATTGGAGAAAAATTCCTTTTGAATATATTCCAAAATATGATACATTTAATATAAAATCCTCAGAAATATTAAATTTAGATTGCGAAATTAATCCAACTAGAACACTAGAAGATTGGAAAAATCGTACAAGTTTGTTAATACAAACTAATAAGGAATTAAGAGAATTACATCCTCACGAAATGTTAAGCTACTTAGAACATAAAACAACGGGAATAGTATACAACTACTTAATAGGATTATCAACAGGAATAAAAGCAGAAAAAATTCTAAGATCAACTGCATGGGAAACATTTGTTAGGCTAATTGACGTAATAGGAGAAGAATTCCTTGGAAGAACTTCTAACGCACAATTAAGAGAAACACAAATATCAGAAGTAGCACTATGGAAAATAGTAAATCTTAGAATTTGTAACATGTGCTATCTTGAAGCATTCATTTGCGAATTTAGAGATCATTACTATCAACTAGCGACAGATAAGAAAATAGTAGCCGAAGAATTATTCTTTGATAAATTACCGCTATCAATATCAGAAGAAGTAAAAACTATATTTCAAAATAAAGTAAACGAGGGACAAACCCCCAATACTTTGGGAGGAAGAATAACAACCTTAAAAGATTGACACTTATTTCAATGCAACCAAGAAAAACGAAAACAAGAGGCAAAAATCGATAAATTATGTTGTGGTGCAATACCAGGAAAAATAGGCAAATATGGTTGTGAACCTATTCGCCAAAAACATAAGAAAAAGAAATGGAGAAAAATTCCAAATAAAAAAAATAGGAAACAAAAATATATACCACAAAAATATTTCAGGAATAGAAAACAATACAAAAAGAAAAACTATGGTAAGAAGGACACATACTGCCCTTCTAAGAAAAAGAATTGTAAATGTTGGCTATGCCAAGAAGAGGGACATTATGCAAATGAATGTCCTAAAAAAGGAAAGAAAAAAGAAACAGAAATACTACGAATAGCATACGATATGGGCTTTGAACCAATCGAATCAGATTCAGAGTTTGACTCTGACATCGAAATATATGCATATACCACTGAATCATCCGATTCAGAAAATGAATAGAAAAATACTAAAATCAGGAAACCCTAATGTAACATTTATACAAATAACTATTGAAAAGAAAAAATTATTAGCATACATAGACACTGTAGCAACTCTATGTTTCGCTAAAAGAAATATCATCAAAAAATGGGTACGATTAGAGAAACCACTACGGATAGTTGTGGCCAATAAATCAGCTCATGAAATCTGGTATGTGGCTCAACACGTATCAATAATTATTGAGACTAAAATATTTCCAGCAAAAACAATATATCAACACGATTCTGGATTAGATATAATTATAGGAAATAATTTCCTAAAATTATATCAACCATTTATACAGAGAATAAAAACGGTCAGCCTGAAAGCACCTAAAATAGAAAACCAAAAATCAGAATTAGTTACGACAAAAATAATAACAAAAAATGAAATAATAAAATCTATTATAGAAGATTTAAAAAACAGACTAACATTTATAAGTATGACTCATATTGAACAAAAACTTGATGAAATATGTAGTGATAACCCATTAGA